GGCACTTGCAGACAGGACAGAACGGACAGTGGACACGAGGGACGAGGGCAGCAGAGACGAGCGGCGGCCGGTTGTAGCTCCAGGGCTTGTAAGTTACCGGTCGGTACCTACCCTGGGTAGATTAGCTGGCTAGAAGGCAATGGAACGGCCAACGGCGAACAGCGCAGGGCCCCGGCCCCCCTCCCCTCTTTCAGGCGACAGCGAGAACGACAGTGACAGCGACAGCGACAACAATAATAGCGACAGCAGCAGCAGCAGCAGCAGCAGCAGCGGCCGTGTGGTGGACGAGGGTCAGCGGGGGCGGGTTAGGCCAGGGCCCAGGGTGTTGCCATCATCATTGTGCAGTGGTGGGGGACCGGGGGAGATTGATGGGCAACAAGGCCAGCACAGGGCCGCAGGACGTGGATGTAGTGGAGAGGGATGGATGATGAAAGGGATGGTGGATGCAATGCAACAGGCAGCTAGGTACAATGGGTAGGTGGGTAGGGTAGGTAGGTACAAGAACAAGAACAAGAACAAGAACAAGAACAAGAACAAGAACAAGAACAAGAACAAGAACAAGAACAAGAGACAGATACAGATACAAAGGCGGTCAGCAAGGGCCAGCCGCAGCAAGGGTCAGCAAGGACCGTCCCGCACCTACATGACATAGTAGGCCTATCTGGTAGAGTAACCTACCGTACCCTATGTGCATGATCACTAGAGTCATTCACTACTCCAGACCACCCCCCGTAGAAGCTACCAACGCAGGACGGTCAGCCCCAGCCAGCGCCGCCCTGTCTCTACCGGTATGTCCATCGAGAGGCCCATGGTGGGACATGGAACACTAGACACTAACTTACTAGACAGTGTTACTGGAGAGCTACTAGACAAATGCAGTGAGGGGTGAGGGGTGAGGGGTGAGGGGAAAGACAGGCACCATCCAACATCCGCTTCAGGCTATACGGTACAGGACAAGTAAGCGGCTTTGCCCCTCCCCCGCCACCAGCCATGGCTACCATGAGACATGGCCAGATGGGGAACTGCACAGTCATCGTCATCGTCATCGTCGTTGTTGTCCTCGACATGGTCGGTCGAGTCGAGGGATTCGCGGGGTGCACGACAGCCAGTCCGCCAGTCATTCGTGTACGTGGTTGGATGGGTGGGATGGATGATGGCTGAAGTATACAATCTCCCAGTTCTACCTAGAGTGCCATTCACCTGCAAGTCTGCTACCAACAGTCTGCTTGGGCTGGGCAGGAAACGGAAAGGGTGGGTGGTGCGTCTCGGCTATTGTGTATACTGTTGTTACCTAGAGTATGCTATGACTACCGTCCGGTACCGGTAGGTAGGTATCCCCTCGGACCTTGTCTGGAAAGGATTGCACGACCCTACGTTAGAGTACAAAGAACATGGAGTGGCTCCTTGCCTAGAACGACAAAACCCTTTTACCCAGAGGAGTACCTGGACACGTGAGACAGCACACTGTAGACTCTACATGCCAACATGCAAACGTGCAACTACACATGACCTGTCATGGTCTATTCCTACAGCTGCCTACCATGGTACGCCTACATGGGTCTCGGTAGTATGTACAGTACGGCAGCTAGCCTACCGGTACAGTAGGTGGAAGAAAAGAAGTAAACATCGGGCGGCAATGAACTACTAGAGTAGTCTCCAGCCCGACTAGATACGGTAGGTGCGCGGTACGGTACCGGTAGTTAGTTACTAGGTAGATTAAGCGAGGCCAATTACCACAAGTCTGGCCTCCCTCCCCCTCCCCAAGCCGGTCATCTCGTGAGAAGGCAGGGAAAGAGCAGAGCACAGGGCCCATTGCCATCATCCCACCCAACAAGTGACTGCCTGCCAACTTTGAACCCCCCCCCCAACAACAACTGCTGCAGTCCGCGGCTTCCTGCAGCTGTACCTTACCACCCTCACCACCCTTACCACCCTCACCACCCTTACCACCCTCCACCTCCACCTCCACCTCCACCTCCACCTCCACCTCCACTTTCCTGCTTCGCTGCCCAAGAAAAGACTCCCCTCCCTCACTGTCCACCCAGACCCGTCAGCCCGCGAACGGCTCATCGCCAACGCCAAGATGCCACGGGACCTGCTAGCCGACCGCAAGACACTGGACGGCATGACGGAACTCTCCAGAGAATCTGCCCACACTGGCTCCCCGCCCGATCAGCCTTCCTCCAGCCTGGTTCCCCACCGCGAATCCAACCTCATGAAGCAGGAACGCCTCAAGAAGACGGGGATTGTCCCTTTTGCCCAGCTGCTCAATGTGGAGGACCTCGACGACTGTGACTGGCTCGAGCATGCTGCTTTTGATCCGAGAGAAGCTGCTTCTAGGGAGAAGGTGGGTTGCTACTGCTACTGCTACTACTACTGCTACTACTACTCCTACTCCTACTACTACTCCTACTACTACCCTTCACTGCTCTTGTGATGATTTCTTGTCATCATCGTCATCGTCATCAACTCTCCCTTCTCGACTGGATGAATCCCCATCCTGCACCTTTGGTACCACTCTACTCGTCACCATGGTTGGTCTACAGCAACATGCCCTCCCCAGCCCGTCAGCCTTGAACCTTGAATGCACCACCGTCTCCACGTGACTCCATACCGCACCCACTAACCAACCCTACAGCTCGAATACCGGCTCTCGATATGTGGTGAACTCTGCTCCGGTCTCTTCACCTCGGCCTACCCCACCTCGGATGGCCCCTTGGCTACCTTGCTCAAGTCGCGCCCCACCTTTGCCTCGATAGACTCCTCTGACAAGGAGCGAAAACGCATCCTCCTGGCCCACATCATCGCCACCAAAGCCTCGTCCCATCTGGTCACAGACGCCGCCATGGACTACCCCCAAGACTGGAAATCAAAGTACCAACTCACCCCCAAGATCGGCCACAACGAAGACGGCCAGACCATTGCCCTTCACAGTCTAGCCGTCCACCCGGATTTCCAGAAAAAAGGCCTGGGCCAGATCCTGCTCAAGGCCTATATCCAGCGCATCCGCGACAGCCAGGTGGCCAAGCGCATTTCCATCATCTGCAGAGATCGCTATGTCCCTTTTTACGAGAAGACTGGATTCAAAACGAGGGGGCCGAGCAAGTGTCAGTATGGGGGAGGCGGGTGGGTGGACATGATGTTGGATTTTGAAGAGGATTATCGGGACGAGTTTGGCAACTCTTGAAGACACGACAGGTCCAAACGGCGAAGCTGGGCCTCGTTTTTTCTTGTGCTATTATATACATACAACTAATGCGGATCTGAATAGAGGGAGCTCATGGTAATCGCAAAGACTTTTCTTGTTCGGGTCTGGTTTTTTGTTTTTGTCAACTGCTTTCATCACGCTCCTCCTCTTTGGCCAGGTCTCTTTGGTACATCAACGGACGGATTCCAACATTCTCCTGACTTGATTACTCTACTCTTCCTTCTCGACGCCCTCCCTCGTCAGAACAGGTTCCAGGAAAGAGTGGTGTTGTCTGGTAGAGTACAGTAGGTAGTTCAGCTTGTGCTAACACGCATCCAGCCTAGCGTTGGAAAAATTCTAGACGCCAGATTGACACTAGTGTCGTACCTAGGCCAAGACTTGTATAACAGTATCCCACAATACGGTACAGAACTTTGGATTCAAACAAACTACTTTCCCGCTAAGAGGAAGTAATGGATTGTGCGGTGTTTCTGGGACTAGAATCTTCAGGGACTACATCCTTACTCTATTTTTCTTCACCCACTGAGCTAAACACCAAAGCTTGCAAAAAAAAAAAAAAAAGAAAAAAAAAAAACACACACACATCTCTGGCAGGCGACGATCTCGGCCTCGGTCCTAGCACCGCAGTGTGGTCCTGGCTGGTGGAGATGGGTGCGTGTGTCCTGTGGGTGCAACGTGGATGACGTGCTCTACCTGGGGGGATGATGTGCTAGCTGCTAGACACTTGTTGAGAGAAGGCGATGAAAAATTCTTTGATGGGCGGGTTTGGGTGGGGAATGGCGCATGTAGTAGTAGTAGTAGTAGTAGTAGTAGTAGTAGTAGTAGGTAGGTGGTCTGCATATAGGTACATGGCTTTGGGGAAAAAGTCTTGGGCAGAAGAAGGGACAGCTAATGTCCTACTAGCCTGCAAAAGGTCGGATCAGGGCCATTTTTCAATTCTCTTCTTTGTCGAGACGATTCGTCGACGCCAAAGAAAGGCATACCATGTTCAAGGACAGCCGAGACATTGAGAGTCCGCCCCATCTCGACCGTCATGCTTCCGACGACCAGCCCATCCTCGAGCCACAGCTCAATGTGGGCGGACATGGTGCAACGCAGCGCCATCTGAGAAACTACCATGTCACCATGATTGGCTTTTGTTCCGGCATTGGCACTGGTCTGTTCATTGGAACGGGGGCTGCGTATGCCAGTGCTGGTCCTGCTGGCTTATTGCTGGCGTATATCATTGTGGGCAGTGTGTTGTGGTGTGTTATGCAGAGTATTGCAGAGTTGGCTACCGTGGTTCGTCTCATCGTCGTGTATTTACCTTTTGCTTTTCATCTTTGCTCATGGTCCTGCTAGATTCCTACTGCTGGTTCGTTTCCTCACTTTGCTAGCCGGTTCATCGATCCTGCCGTTGGGTTCTCCCTAGCCATCAGTTATGGATACTGCTACACGATATCCATCGCAGCAGAGTGCTCCGCCTCCGCCATCCTCGTCGGATACTGGACCGACATGTCTCCTGCCATTGTCATCACCATCAGTCTCGTCCTGATCCTCGCCATCAACCTCTCCAACGTACGTTGGTTTGGCGAGTCCGAAGTCATTGCCGGCTCCATCAAAATCGCCTGCTTCCTCGGTCTGATACTCGTCTCCATCGTCATCACCAGCGGCGGCGCCCCCAACCGCGAAACTATTGGTTTCCGATACTGGCATCAACCCGGCGCCTGGGTCGACTACAACGGCATCACCGGGTCGACAGGCCACTTCCTCGGCTTCCTCGCCGCCTTTGTAAACGCCTCCTTCTCCTTCATCGGCGTCGAAGTCGTCGTCATCACAGCGGCAGAGAGCATCAACCCCCACACAGCCATACCCCAATCCGCCCGCCGCGTCACCTACCGCATCGCCCTCTTCTACATCCTCGGCGCCCTCCTCATCGGCCTCATCGTCGACCCCCGCAACCCCGCCCTCGTCTCCGGCACCGGCAACGCAAACTCCTCACCCTGGGTCCTCGCCATCAAACACGCCCGCATCACCGCCCTCCCCTCCCTCGTCAACGCCTGCATCCTCATCTCCGCCTGGTCCGCAGGCAACAGCTACTGCTGGGTCGGCTCCCGCATCCTCCTCGCCATGACAACCGACCACCAACTCCCCCAAATCTTCGCCCGCACCTCCGCCTCGGGCGTCCCTTATATCGCCGTCCTCGCCTCCTGGTCCTTTGCACCCCTCGCCTACCTCAGTCTCGGCACCGCTGGCCCCGCCCAGGCTTTTGCCTGGCTTATGAATCTCAGCACCGTTGCTGGCCTGATTGCTTGGGCGACGCTTTGTTTTGCGTACATTCGCTTCTTTGCTGCCTGTCAGGCTCAGGGCTTACATCGTGATAGTCTGCCCTGGCGGGGGCCGTGGCAGCCGTATACGGCGTGGTATGGGTTTGTGGGCGCTACGCTCATTACGCTCATTACTGGCTTTCCAGTCTTTTTGCGGGGGAATTGGAATACGGCGGATTTTGTGGCGTCGTATGTTGGGATTCCGATTTTTGTGCTGCCGATTTTGGGGTGGAAGGTTGTCAAGGGGTCAACGGTTTGTGCTTTTGTTTCTTTCTGCTTTCTGCTTTCTCTCGTTTCCACACGCAGACTGTTGCGGTTGAGAGGAAGTGCCTGGGCTAACAGATGGCTAGTTTCGGCGCGCTAGTACGATTGATTTGTGGTCTGGACGGTTGAAGACGGAGGCGTAAAACACTACCTCACCTCTACCGTCACATTGCGAACACAGTACACACCTCACCTCATCATAACAGCCTATCCCATACCAACCCATCTAACTCGCCACTAGGTTGGGTAGCCAGTGCCATTTTGTGCCCTCTAGATGGGCTGGAGGGGTCTAGCGTTGGCGCTTTGGGATTATGGTTACTGCCACATCCCTCTCACACGCTAGGGTGTGGGTATATAGTAGAGTGGAGGACAGTGAAGTACAGCACAGCACAGCAAGTACCATCATCATCATCGTCATCACACTCTCACCCTACTCTTACCATACTCTCATCAGCTCTCATCAAAATCTTACCACACACACGTCCAATCTCCTAGGAGACCTTTTGTTTTGAGGACACGGTTGCATGGTGTTTGGGATGTGTGGTTTAGTATACAGAGGACAGGGTACATGTTACAATCTCGCCCTGACTCGTTCCTGCCTTGGCTCTGGCCTCGCGGCTACATTGTCATTCACCTCCTCCCCCCCTTTCTCATCCACCTCCCCCCTCGCCTTCTCATTAACCTCCCCCCTCGCCTTCTCATTAACCTCCCCCCTCGCCTTCTCATTAACCTCCCCCCACCACCTCTTCCTCATCTCATGCCCCCGCATCAAAACCTCCACCCACCCCCCCTCAAACCGCGGGACCTTCCTCCCCGGCCCCTCCTCCCCCGCCAACTCCCTCACCGCCTCAAAATACTCCTCAAACTGCGGATACACCAGCGTAAACCCCACACCATCCCCCTTTTCACGCACCCGCTCCTCCTCCCATCGCCGCTGCTCTGCTACGGGCGGGAGTTTGCAGCGCCCCGCGAGGATGCGGGCGCAGAGTACGGCTTGCCATTCGAAGATGCGGAAGGTGAGGCCGGGGGCTACGGCGCCGACGAAGAGGAGGGTGGGGTCGGCGGTGTATACGACGTGTTGGTAGAGGCCTGGGATGCGGTTGTTGCGGATTTTGACAGAGGGGAGGAAGGGTAGGGTCCAGGTGTATCCTGTGCCGAAGATTATTTCGTCGATGTTGGGGATGGTGGTGTTGTCTGTGAAGTGTGCGGTGATGGTTGTGGTGTTGTTGTTGTTGCTGTTGTTGCTGTTGTTTTTGTCGAGGGAGAAGTGGGAGAGCGATGGCTTTTGGAGGATTAGGGGGTGTTTGAAGGCGATGTCGCCGAAGAAGATGTTGGGTTTGTGGCCGAGGACGACGGCGGGGATGGGGGTTTGGGCGATGCCGATTAGGTCGATGGCTATGTCTGCTGCTGAGACTGAGGCACCTACTATCAAGACCTTCTGTAGACATCACCATCAGCTATGATCACGCCGCGTTGCGTAGGCGAGCAAAAGCAGTCCACAGTCATCCTTACCTTATCCTTGTACCCCTCTCTCCCCCGAAACATCTTACTATGCTTCACGCTCCCCGGCCTCGCCCGCTGCACATCCTCCAAGCCCGGAACTTGCGGAATATAGGGGACACTGTAATGTCCACTCGCCACCACAACCGCATCAAACCACTCCTCCCACCACTCATCCCCCCCCTCCCCCTCCCTCCTCAACACCACCCACCACTCCCCCCCAACCA